CCTCAGGGCGGAGTCCAGCACGCCCCGAGCCTCGCTACCCTGCCAGGACCGTTCCCGCAATTCCTGCCCGGCATTCCCGGTGTCCTGGCCAATAACTCTGCTGGGAACCCACAGGATGTCACCAAGCACCATCTCCAAACTCTCCATGAATCCATGGGGTGCCCCACGGAGTGCTGGAGAGCAGGAGAGCAGCTCCCTTTGCAGGCACACATCTTAAATCCCATCCATTGTATGATTGTTGTATTATGTAACATGAACACAGACTCATCCAGCTCCCATTCCAACTGTGTTGTTTTCCAAAATTCCCACACTATGAGGGAGGGGAGAGGAGCTCAGGGTGCCCCAGGCTCACACCCAACCCTCCACACACAGAGGGAATTTTACCTCCAGTATTTCCAGTCCCTCAGCACAATCCTGCCAATCTCCAGGAAAAGCCTTTAAAGGCCTCTTTGGCATTCCCTGGAAGCAGCCCCTCGAGGATGTCAGGCTGGGGACATCCTGTGTCCAACAGATCTGTGCTGGGATCTGATTCCTGAAAAACCCCTGGATCAGGGAATCAGGGGTGGGAGAAGTGTCCAAGGCCAGGCTAGATGGAGTTTGGAACAGCCTGGGATAGTGGGAGGTGTCCCCTTGCCCATGGCATGGGATAGAACTGGATGGGCTTTAACCATCCCATAATTCTGCTCTGGAGTCAGGATTGCTGGGAATGGAGAAGGGAAAATTCCAGGGAATCCTCAGAGTCCCTGCAGGGGCTCCAGGAGAGCTGCAGAGGGACTGGGGACAAGGCCTGCAGGGACAGGAGCCAGGGAATGGCTCCCACTGGGAAAGGGGAGATTGGGCTGGGATCTCGGCAAGGAATTGCTGGCTGGGCTGGAATTCCCAGATTTGCTGTGGCTGCCCCTGGATCCCTGGCAGTGCCCAAGGCCAGGTTGGACACTGGGCTTGGACCCACCTGGGACAGTGGGAGGGGTCCCTGGATGGGTTTCAGGTCCCCTCTAACCCAGCCCATTCCATGGTTCCTCTCCTGCAGCTCCCTCTGGCTGCGTGCAGGCGCTGGGGGCAGGGCAGCATTCCCAAGGGACAATTTTGGGAGCTGGAATTGCATCTCCAAACAAAGAAACCCCGAGCTCCACCAGCCTGAGCACCACAAACCCCTCCAGGAGCCAGAGCTGACACAGGCCCAGCTTTTGGGATCATTCAAATCCATTCCAGCGCTCCAACAGAATCTCCCTCCCACTCCCACCAGCCCTGGCCCAAAACAGGAATCCCTTTTGAAGCATTTCCAGATGAAATCATCCTGCATCCGTGCCTTTAAGCCCCTGAATGATCCCAGGGCTGCGTCCATTTCTGAAGGAGCCACGTGCAGGCTCACATGGATTTAAGTTTAAGATAATTACGGGTATTAGAGCTGCTCTAATGAACCAGCTCCTCTCCTCGCACACAGCTCTGCTCCCTAAATCCAGAATATATCAACTCTTCCCACACAAAGATCCAATAAATGCAGCAGCAGGGAGAAAATGCAGTTTACCCCAGGGAAATGGTGTCAGGTGCTTTGGGCTGTCCCTGAAACTCCTCACGGATGGGTAAGGGAGGTTTTTTATCCTAAATCCATGAGAAGAAGGTGGTGGCAGCAGCACAGATGGGAGAATTCCTGGTTCTTTGGGGGATTGGAGAGGAGATGCCAGGTTAACTCCAGCTCTTTTCCATGCAGTCATCAGTTTGCAGCACCAGCTGCTGCTCAGCTCCTGGCCCCAGTGGGTGACATCAAAATAATCCCCACAGGCTCCTTTGGGGACACACAGAGCTGCCACAGCGGTGTCACCAAGCCTGAGGAACAGCAGTGCCTGGGAAATCAGCCCTGGGATCATCCAGGCCCTGCCATGGACACGGTTTGGGCAGCGGGGGTGAGCTGGGGTTTGGGAGCTGATGGATTTATCCATTCCTTTAAAGGATCAACGGGGCTTGGGGTGGCCCCTCTGCATTCAGCAGCACAGCTGGCACCTGCTCCGGGCTGNGAACCCAACATTCCCAACAGGAATCCCATCCCAGCAGAGCCCCTTGGAGCTGGCAGGACCATGCTGAGGGATCCACACGGCCCCTGAAGCCTCGGGGACATGGAGACACCTGGATCTGGGGGACACAAGGAGGGGACACTTGGGGACAGGTGCTCCTGGCCTCTCTCCACGGGCTCTCGGCAGATTCCACATTGCTCCTCTCCTCTGGACTTCCCATGGACAAACAGAACTTTTTGGATCGTTTTTCCACCCAAAAATCAACACAGAGGCAGCTGGAAAGCAAATCTGGACCGAAGGGTGCACAGGTAACACCTCTCTCCCCTCTCCCACGGCTCCAGAGCCCACCTTGGCTTTTCTCTCGGCACAATTCCCAAGAGGGGGACAAATAATCCCCAAATTTCCTTCAGGGAATGATGATTCCCTGCCCGTGGTGTGGAATGAGATGGGCTTTCATGTCCATCCCAACCCAAACCATTCTGGGATTCTTTCCCAGGACCTTTGGAGTTTCAGCTCATCCTTGCACGAACGATTTCTGCCTTCAGTAATTGTCACAAACCAGGTGGGTTTGGGTGTCCCCAAGAGGCGCCAGAGCCCAGGGACAGGACAGCCCTGAGAAGGTGCCACTTGTCCCCAGGTCACCAAGGGTTTAGAGAGAGTTGTGCCAGGGGAGATTCAGGATTTCTGCCTTCAGAAATTGTCACAAACCAGGTGGATTTGAGTGTCCCCCAAGAAGCGCCAGAGCCCAGGGACAGGACAGCCCTGAGAAGGTGCCACTTGTCCCCAGGTCACCGAGGATTCAGGGGTTATAAAAATATCCGAGAGAGTTGTGCCAGGGGAGATTCAGGATTTCTGCCTTCAGTAATTGTCAAAACCAGGTGGGTTTGAGTGTCCCCAAGAGGCGCCAGCCAGGGACAGGACAGCCCTGAGAAGGTGCCACTTGTCCCCAAGTCACCGAGGGTTTAGAGGTTATAAAAATATCCAAGAGAGTTGTGCCAGGGGAGAGTCAGGAAAATTCCTTCATGGAAAGAGCTGGAAAACATCGAAGAGGCTGCCCAGAGCAGGGGACAGTCCCCATCCCTGCAGATGTGACACTTGGGGACACCGCTGACAACTCGCTGCTGCTCTCCGAGGCTTTTCCCACCCAAACCCTCCACGATGGTGACGCGAGCCCACCCTGAGCCGTGTCCCCTCCCAGGCTGGGAGCACATGCAGGGACNCTCCTGCATGGAGACCAGGATAACACCGGGATAACACCAGGATAACAACCGGACACTGATCTGGCCACTCCTGCATGGAGACCAGGATAACACCGGGATAACAAGCGGACACTGACCTAGCTGGTCCTGTATGGGGACCGGGATAACACCGGGATAACAACCAGACACTGACCCCACCACTCCTGCATGGAGACCGGGATAAGACCGGGAGAACACCGGGATAACACTGGGATAACACCGGGATAACACCCGCACGCTGACCCAGCCACTGACGGGTCACCCTGGCATGGGATGGGATGGGATGGAGCAGGTGCCCAGCAGAGAGGCCCCAGCACCAGGGCACAGCAGGAATCCAGCCCTGGCACATGGAATGCCACTGGGACAGCGATGTCACTGCAGAGGGACAAACCTGATCCTCCAGGGACAATCCCAGGATCAAACTGGCTGCAGCAGCAGGGGACAGGTGACCTGAGGTGACAGGACAGGATTTAACAGCAGGGTCTCAGCACCAGCACATGCCACCTGTGCATGTGGCACTTGGGGACACTTGGCAGTGTCAGGGGAACAGTTGGACTCAGGGGTCTCAGAGGGCTTTTCCAACCTAAATATTCCACAATTCCAGGATCCCTGAACGGGTCAGACCCTGGCAGCTCCCAAGTGAGGCAGAGCTTTTGCTGGAGCCTTTCCCTGCATCCCTGGCAGTTCCCTGTTCCCATCACAGCCCTGCCACCTCCGTGTCCCTGGGAGGTGACATCCATGACGCAGTGTCACCCTGGGACACGGGTCAAGGGACTGGCCTGTCACCAGCACAGACACACTGTCATGGGGATGAACACAGCACAACCTGCTTCATCCCAAAAATGACCTGGGAAAGAAAGACCCTTTTCCTGCTCTTTAACCAGATTTTGGGGTCCTTCCCAGGCAGCCTGGCCCAGGACAGAGGCCAGCACCTCCTGAGGACAGCATGGACCTCCTGCTCCAAGAACAGGGACACCCAACACCGTGTCACAGCCAAGGGACAGGACCCCCAGTGTCCTGCAGCCCCTGCTCAGCATAACCCAAAGGCCACAGCATCCCAAATCCATGGAAAACAGGGGAGGGGCCCAGCAGGGGCCAAGGCCCATCTGGCAGCAGCTCTGCACAATAAAGTCTGTAGATTAAAGTCTATATTTGACACACAGGAGCCGCCCTAATCTCCAGAACGAGGATTTACCCGCTAATTACTCTCATTATCCAGGTTCCGCCCGCAGATGGCACAGCCCTGTGTGGGGGCAGGGGGGCTCTCAGGGCCATGAGAGGCTGAAAAGGGTGAATTGTGAGGGGACAGCAGGGCCTGGCATGGGGCTGTCCCTCAATGGGGACATCCCTGTGTGAGGTGTGTCTGTGCAGACAGGACGAGGGGCAGGACAGTGACAGATCCAGATCCCCAGGACAGTGACAGTCACAAATCCATGATCCCCAGGACAGTGACAGTCACAGACCCCCAGAACAGTGACAGTCACAGCCCCAGATCCTCAGGACAGTGACAGTCACAGAGCCACAGTCCTCAGGAGAATGACTGTCACTACAATCCCCAGAACAGTGACAGATCCAGATGCTCAAGACAGTGACTGTCACAGATCCATGATCCCCAGGACAGTGACAGTCAGATCCAGGGTCCTCAGCACAGTGACAGTCACCCAACCAGGATGCTCAGTACAGTGACAAATCCATGATCCCCAGGACAGTGACAGTCACAGCCCCAGATCC